AACGCATCCGCATGTCAGCACATACAAATGCATGATCGGTGTCCACACATGTGCTGCATATCGAGCGACAGTTCTGGATGCAGCCTCTCCAGCAGTAACTGATAGCAATGTGATCGATCTGCGTCCAAGGCTGCTTCGAGGCTGGTGGGCGCCATGTCACCCTCCGGCGGGTGCTGTGTCGGAAGTTAGTGTTAGCAAGAAATAAACGGGCATCCTCACAAATATGAAGCAACCGCTCACCGTTATCATTACGGGAGCCTACACCGTGCTGACCGTCCAGATGCATTTCATCAGTGGACAACTTTCCAACTTATGCGTTCAGATCCCCCGCCAGCACAACAGTGTCCGTGCTTCTTCTGTGACGAAGGAGCTGGGTCAGTTGGCGGTAGAAGTCGTTCTTTACCGAATCATCGCTACAGTTTGTAGGTGCACAGGCGGCGATGATGAATAGGCACCTATTAGTCCCGCACGACTTCGGAGCTTTGAACGAGCCAGCCAATCGGACCGCACACATCCGGCTACTGATTGGAATCCAATCAAGCAGAGCAGCTTCAGCCCGGAGACTCAGGGCATGCCAACTCCAGCTTGGCCGGTGCTCGAAACTGCATCGTCAACGGATAGGCGCAATGAGAAAATACTGTTTGCGTCACCTGAAGGGGATCGCAGAGTGAGCACAGAGCTCGAGTCTTGCAGGCAGGTCTCTGATAGGCAGCAGATATTGATCGAGAGGGTCTCCAATGTTCGGACAATTGCTGCCTTTCGACCGATCTGTAGCAATGTGCGAACATTGAGGCATGCCAATCTGAAGAAGGATGGAGGGCTCCAAATGGAAGCCGAAGAACTGGAATGGACCGCTTGGTTAGACATGGGTTTGTCGACAGGACAGAAGTGACGCCCCGCGTTAGCATGTGAGTTGAAACTAGAAAATAAACGACTAACAAAGCAGGTTGGGGGCGAGCCAAGAATCGGAGGTTGAAAACTGTGGGGATAAAAGTGAAGTTGGAAGGGGACGGTGAGAGTGAAAAAGCGTAAGAGGGGGAATAAGAAGACGGGAAGGCTTGAGCAGTAGCATCCAAACCCCCATCCACCCTGCTCGATGCAGCAGATAGGGCACCGTTGATTATCCTCTGCAGTGGCCAGAGCATCAGAAATTTGTTTGAAGAGAAACTCGTTGTATTGTGTGGGCAGGATACTGTCAGGGTGCCCAGTCCTACACAGGAGAACGATTAGAGTTCTCAACCAAAGCCTTTGGTTCAAAAACCTGAACGTAAGGCAGCGGGTTTGGCGTTGGGCTACAAGGAGTCCTTTTTAAGGAATAAGGTGCCACCCTCATTCCAACCCCCAACCTGGAGGACCAGGAGGCTGAGTTTGACTGGCCTCCAACCATTGACCAATCTGGTATGAGTGAGTCTGAAGGTGCAAAGGCACCGCCCAGCATAGTTCAATGGATCGCTGAGACACACAAACCATCGCACCACGGTAAGGTCCAGTGTCATTGCGATGGACGCCAACCACCACTTCCTTGGCAACCGACAGAAAAACCGTGATCTCAAGTGCGCGTCACCTATACTGGTCCGATCGATGGCATTTCCTACCTGGTGGTGGTAGACGCCTACTCCACATGGCCTGAAGCGGTCGCCATCAACCCAACAACCGCATCCGCCACACTGGGTTGTTTACAACCAACCTTCTGGCAACATGGACTCCCCGAGGTCTCTATGTCCGACAATGGCTCCATGTTCAAAGACTTTCGTCGCCGACATTGCATCCAAAACTTACACTCACCGCACTACCATCCCCAGTCCAATAGTCAAGCGGAGAGGTTTGTCGACACCTTCAAGAGCGCACTCTTGAAATCTCGTGGGGAGGTGACCGTGGATAAATGCCTTTAAGCATTCCTGCTCGCGTATCGTCCACACCAAATCCATTCGCTTCAGGATGCCAGTTTCCAGCTGAAGCATTGATGGGCAGCAAGCTACGCGCCCTTAACGTAGGGCTGATCCCGACCGAAAAGCCACCAAGTCATTCTACTGCGTACGCCAAGCACAATGAACTCGTGGTTGGAGCCACGGTATACGCCCGCTACTATCAGGCAGGTCATTCACGCTGGATCAAAGCAAAAGTGACGGCTCGCCAAGGTGATGTACTGCATGATATCCCCGTGCGTATTGACCCGTGCGTCCACCATAGTAATCAACTTCGACCGCGACACGGATAACGCTGCACCCCAGCCAGTCTTCCTGTGCACCTGTCGCTGCATATCTTGTTGGATACCTTCGGAATTGTAACAGAACGGAAGATTCCGGTCGAAGCCGCCCAGTCGCCGCAATCTCTTGAGAACCCGCTTTGCCGACGAACAGGAAGATTCCGGGGGTCACCGAGATCTCCCCAGGTAAATCCTCGTCAGAAGCGGTAGACATTATCTTCAAAAAGGAGGTTTTGTGGGCACGTCAAGTAACCCCGCGAAAATGCGCCATAAAATCCGGTGAGTGGGCTGCGCCACGCAGAGTTAAGTTCTAGCCCACAACGTAGCAGGATCCAGCCAGTTTGAGTCTGGGCGCAACTGCGCTAAAGTGAGCAATGTCTTTCGTAAACCACTTGTTCTACGTGGTAATACATTTCACACACAAAATGAACCATTAAGTCAACTGTGATTCGGTCTTTGTTGGTCATAAAAGAACTCTGAGGTCCGTTTCGTCTGACCTTCTCACTCTTGTGCGCTGATTAGGATTTGCGTGGTCGTGCGATCATGTGCGCCGTTCTATCCGTGTGCTGCGTGTGCGTCTAAATCTCGCGTCTAGTCCGCCGGTAGTGTGTGTATAGTTGTCTGGTTTCGAGGACGCAGCGCATTACCCCAATACGTTCATGAGTAGGGACCGTGCTCAGATCACCCGTAAATTTCGGCTAAGCTAACGCGACCAGTTCTGCGCAAATCCGTCTGCGTGACTTCGCCTAGTTCTACGGCAGTTTTGTGATTTGGCCCATTTCGTGAATCAGCACCCATTTTCCAATATTAGCGCGCGAGCACATTCCGCACCTAGACGAGGCCTCCACTAGCGCCCGCTTGGGTTTAGCCGCGCGATTGTCCCGTAACTTGCGCACACCTGGCTTCAATGAAAACAAATGTTGTGTTCTTTTGACTCTAAATGGGAATTTTCAAGTTGCTTAAATGTTGTTAAATCCCTTGCATATCGCGGTTGCTCTGAGCTGCTGTCGAGTCTGGGTGTAACTGCCATAATTAATTTGTAGTGGCTTTTACAGGAATCGCGTCCACTGTGGTACCAGTGATATTACTTCTGTTTACGCTTGAATGCATTCCTACTCTGGCTGGGTACGATAAATAATCGGAAAAGTCACGGGAGTTATGAAATCCAGATGAAGTTCTCTACCGGTCATTTGGTAGTGGATACTTGTCCGATATAAAACTGCCTAATTTGGGATTGGTTAAAACGAACAGTATGCATTATATATATATATATATATATATATATATATATATATATATATATATATATATATATATATATATATATATATATATACGCGTGTGTGTACACCGCCAGATGCAATTTGAATCCCTTAGGTACTAAATTGAATATCGTTACAGAGGTACATGGGATTCCTAGGGAGCAATTCCGTTGTACTATGGATGCACTTAGCTCAGGCAGGGTGTAGTTTTTCATCAAGTTCTGCCTTTTGAAATATCTATAACAAAGTTTGCACGTTGAGACATGATCGGAACTTCAAATGGTAGGTGATGAACTGCGGTTTTCCACTCGGGTCAGCATGAACTAGTTGATGGGGCCGGAGTGATGCTTTATGATTGTATGTGAGCTGGAACATGATGGAGTTGGTCAAAAACTGGGCATAAAAGTGAACTTGGAATGCGGCTAAAGAATGAAGACTTAAGTAATAGCACCCCCATCCCTATGCACCCAGCTCGATGCAGTAGATAGGGCACTTCTAGTTGTTCCTTTCGAGTATTAGAATAACAAGTAGCTGTTTGAATTTCTCATTGTGTTGCGCTGGCAGTATACTCTCATATTTCTCAGGATTGGATAGAGCAGAGAATACGGTTCTCAACCAAAGCCTTTGGAGGAAACACCTGACCGGGAAGGCAGTGGGCGTTTTGTAATGCACTACAGGGACAAGGCAGCACTGTTACTCCAACATCCAACCTGGAGAACCAAGATAATTACTTAAATGGCCTCCAACCATTGCCTAAGTTGGTATGAGTGACTCTGAATGTTCAAAAGCAACATCCAGCACAATTAACTTCATCTCTGAGGCACGCAAACGATTGCACCTAGTTAAAGTGCAGTTTCGTTGATCTACACTTGGTTAGTACAGCGAAAATTTTGTGGGTACCTAAACTCTTATGTAGGTACCATCGGAATAGTGACTGGCTTGTTTTATATACAGTTAAACCCAAAGCTTCTTACCAACTTGTGTCTTTGCGTTCCCTGATGTGTGTATGGTAAGTTAACCCTGTTTCTCTTTGCCGCGACCCATTTTGTGGTACAACTGGGGGCATGAAATATGTTTCATTATGTAGTCCATAGCAATTAGACAATGTTTCATGTTCTACCATTTCAGATACTGGCGTTTTGACCATGAAAGTTCTCTACTCCATTGCATCCACATATGTAACAGAATTAGCATCTACTTTAGCGAAATAGCGAGATATCTCACCAACTGGATAACATAACACCAGAGAACTTGGTGTTGCCACAGTGCATGAAACGGCCTTCGCAGGTAAGACCGCTGTGCGTGTGTGTACTGTGTGTGTACCGCACTGCGTACGTGCACTGTACTGTGTACTGTACCGAGTGTGCAGTACGGTTGCTGGGTCATTGTACTTCTTTCAACGAGTCAACATATACTGCATAACTGCATATAACGTTGTAAGGCATGTGACATTAAAGTAGTCAGAGGTACCTTTTCGATTGACGCTAAGGTTTTTAAAGGGTTGCTTTGGTTGATATATTGTTTATTTTCAGTGGTATTTGGCAGGAATCGCATCCTCGGGAATCGGCTGCGGTACCAGTGGTATTCCTTCTGTTTACGCTCGAATTCATTCGTACGTTAACTGGATACGGGAAACAACCGGGCTGGTCACAGCTGCCACGAAATCGAGCTGAAGTTCTGTACTGGGCGACATAGTTCACAAGTCTATGGAACTCTAAAGTTTCATGTTTTCACTGTAGCTGTACCCTGAAAAAATTCTTTTTTGTCCGCGTTCACACTTACCTTTCATCGTTTAAAAACTGATTCTTGCTTTGTTTTCGTTTCGCAATAGTGACAGTTTTCAAGTAAAATAGCATCACAGATTCCCATCTTCCTTATGATTGGACCCGAACATGAAATCCTAGTGTGACCAAAGGAACTCGTAGCTCAGGCGACCAACCCGATCCTCTGCATATGTATACCACACATGAGAGTGAAGGATGAGTAGCACCATACCGGAGTTGGAAATCAGCCATGGCTGCTCGCCACCACTATCCATGGATAGGCAGAATAAGTTGCAGCCTCGTAAGAGTAAGATCATGCGTTCGAATCCGGCAGGATTCGGCGGGTGCACGCTACTGACGATTCTCACTCGTACTACCCGGTCGTCTAGCGCCTTCCTGGATGTGTGGTGGCTATGTGGTTGCGTTTAGCTGCGATAAAGCTCCAAAAATGTTGAGTAGTTCATTCATTCACTCATTATATACGTTAGCTGCAGGTGGAAAACACCTCAGCTATTGAGTAATAATGATATGTCAAGGCTCTCCATGGTGTTCGTGTACGCAAAAAGTAGGAGCCGTACGCTCTAGCATCTAGTACCCAGCGTAAACACAACGGAATGCACTAGAAACTAGGCGATATCCAATGGATGACACCCTAGTTTATAGACAGTTTGACCTCATCATTATGATTGCCTGTGAAAATACGGGAGATCAGTAGTTTTTCCAGTACCTTTAACAGCACGCACATGCACGTAATTGGCCAATAATTCCGAGATTACTTTTTAGAAAGGTGTCATTCTGGATGATATCCAAATGCCAGGGTTAGTACCAGACGTTAAACACCGATTTAAGATCTCTGCCAGATGTGTCTTTAGAACATCTGAGCACTCCTTTAGAGCGACGGCTGCTAGTGCATCCAGTATGTTATCCTTGTCTAGTTTCAGTTTTGTGAGCCCCTTATAAACCCTTGTGAAATTAAATAATGTGGGTGGCTTTGTGATGGTATGGGAAATTTAAAGGGTGTGTTAGGTGATAAGGAGCTGAACTCAGCGTTGAATTTGTCTACATTTTCGGTGCTGAGTATTCTGCAGCATTGCTTACCAGATAGTCGTCTTCGAAGTCTGCACAGGTCACGGCCACTGTGGTTGTCTAAAGCGGTCTGAACGTACAGACTGCTTTACCTTCCCTTATCCTTTATAGCTACTGACAGACGTAGAACACAGGCAGTTTGCTTACGTGGATATGTCTATACTTTTTTCCTCCGCAGTTGCCTGAGCAAAGAAAAGGAAAATCTGTCGTTTCGGAAATAAATTGTCTCAATGGTGCAACACAAAGCAAAACAGCAGGTAATGTTATCTGTGAGGTGCTAGCATTAAGCTGATGTCTTCATTTATAAAATTAAAAAAGCAGAGAAAAGGTGTTGGTTTGGTTTATCAGGCTGTTCACAAACTATGCAGAACTGAAAGCAGCTAATATATCTTCCCAGCCTGACCACAGCTGAATTGTTTTTCGTGTATGTTCGTATTCAAGACAAGATTGAGAAGTTTAACCATGCAGTCACATACAAGCCAGTAAGAAGAGGAATTCAAGAGACTCACTTCAGATGCAACAAACGGGTCGAAGGACTCGGTTAACAAGACGGATGAGTTGACACTGGCAGTGTGACTGAGAGCACGAACATAAACGTTGACCAAGCCGCTTGCACCAGCAGCACGGACTAGAACGCCTCTGGCAGTAACACGCTCAATTAGTAGATTTGCTTTGGACGCTTCAACTGGATGAATTGAATACTCCATGGAACTAGAACGTGGTCCACCGCTGACATGCAGTTCGTATTCCGCACCCAGTAGAAGGTTGAAATTACAAGGAGAAAGACGAACAGGAGAAAACACCTGATAGGAAAAGAAGAGTTGATCGATTTCGGGTAACGAGGTTGTAGTATTAGGAAAAGTAGACGTGGGCGTTCCGATGAATATATACGAAACCGAACCAGTTAGCAAGAGGTAGGTATAGAGTAAGGAAGGAGAGCTGCACTATTCCGAAACGTCACAGCTACTTTGAAAAATTTCGTGGAAAAAAAAGTTAACTAAAGAAAAAGCATTGCAGTAAAAAGCGAGCAGAGTGAATCTCACCGAGAGTTCATCACTGTAGCTCGCACTCCAATTAGCTTACTACGCATCCGGAAAAACGATAAACGACAATTTGTTTTAGTTGGACTTTTGAAAACGACTGGTAATCTTCCGATGTACATCCTGCTATCGACCAGGATAAAACTCTCCGACACCTTGATATACCGCTGTTTAATCCGGAGAACGTAAGCAGCTTTTTCAGTGTCATGACAATGTCTTTTGTAAATTCCTGCCTGATGATCACCGATAGAGCCGTGGTTTCAGTCTAATTTCACAAAGTGGTGCTCCGCCATTTCCAGTACACACACCCTGGTGCGATCAGAATGAAAGCAATAGCTCACAGCTAAATTTGCTGACCCGGTATTGGAAGCGACATTGAAGAGCTTATCTGCTGCCGCCCTCTGTCAGCAAGCCGCCAAGATACATGGTTCAATGCCTTGAGAAAGGCCGCATCTGACAACCGCTACATAATGAAAACAGAATCGGTGGGTGTTGGATTAATTCGTGGTGTTTCACTCCTTAAACAAGCGAGTGATAAGGAGAAGCATACAAGCATACATTGCCTGTTACCACAATCGGATAGGCTAGTCGTTCACTGATACGCTCACTAGTATGTGTCATTTCATCCGGAATGAGGACAGTGCTTAGGCCAAACTATGTGACTAGCGTAATCAAGTGCTAAGCACACTATGACAAGGACAAAACCCGTTCAGTTCGATGTCTCATTTGTAGATTTTAGATGTACTTCGTCGCCGTCCTCCCTCACTCAGGCAGGATCCCATACGTCTGGATAAACGCCAGACAGCTGTTTCAAACTTCTTGGTCTCCCCAGTAGTGCGTCTTCATCTGACCACTGCTGGGTTCCGACACTATAACTTCCAGATGCCAGCAGCTTGTGCCACTAAGCCATGGGTGACGGTGGCGGAGCTGCATGATAGACAGTCGACTACAATATAGTGCAGCTCATCCTCCACTGCTATGTCAGTTACGAACTGTGCAGAGGGCACATTTTGACCCCAGAACGACGACGTTACGCACAGCTATGTTGTGCGATACAACACTTAGAAGCTATACGGACGGATTTTTGATTAATGGTGAGTAGTGTGGATTTTGGTGTACGTTTAAGTGTATTTCGTCGCAGTCCTCCCTCAGTTAGAGGCTTTTTCAGTCATATGAGTGCCTGTCTGACTGAGAGGGGACTGCGACGAAGAACAGTTAAAATTGCACTCAAATTCCCCCCCACTCATTAGCAGTCTTAGAGTGTCTCGCTCCTACATCCACTTTACTGTTCATGCACAACTCAATGAAGCTGTTTGGTGCACAAAATCATCTTTGCTATCAACAACAGCGATACGTAATTGCATCATGCAGGCTCTTAGCTGGGCAAATTGTAGGGCAGGGTCTATCAATGGGTAATAATTTTAGGATGTCAATCGGGCTTAAATTGGAACCTGAGCTACTTAGACGAAGAGTCAGTATCAAGGTGCATACATCTCGTGAACTCGTATATGGCCACATGAGAAATGGCACAAGTAACCGTGATTTATTTGTGTTCAGGCTCAACGAACCACTAGAAGTATCATGCTCCAATAGTAGTAAAAAGTATTGTGTGAATTTAACATCAGGAGAATAAAATCAATCTGTCGTGGACAAAAGTGGTACCTTTGAACAGCGAGTTGTGACCTAGTAGGAATCAACAAAAATGCACAAAGCTTACAACTTGATATTCTGCAGTGACCAATTTATCCAATCATTTTAAAGGATACCAGGCCCTGAGCGTTAAGCTTAGTCCAATTTTATCAAGCACCTTATTCATCGGCTCTCATTTAGTTGCAAGAGAAATAAAAAATATCTCCAGTTTGGATTACAGGTCTTACGTGTACATATATTTCCTAAACTGCGGAAAGATGTACTAGCCTGAAAGTGTCAAATCTGGTGAGTAGGTGGATGGTGGACCAATTAGAAACCTATGGGGTCCATTTTGCAGCCAAAACAGTAAACTTGTGTGCAAGTTCATTGTTCTGCAAGCAAATGAAGCTCTTGGTCAAATTTCTATGTTGGTTCTTCTTAACTGCCTCACTCGGCTGACCTAAAACGTTTGTATGATACTATCCGGTAATATTGGATCCCTGAGGAAGATAGAGCACAAACAAAGTAGGCTTTGTCCCAGTAAACAGGCACCAGGGTCCTTTTGGCGGATGTTTGGGTCCGGAACTATTTTTGCATACACCCAATGTGGCACCAGTTCTTTGACGTTCACTTGGTTTCATGGTCATATATGTAAGACTATGTTTCCTTCCCAGTCATTAAGCCAATCAAAACCTCTTGTGCATCTTTAAAATGGAACGAAACGTTTTTGGATGAATCAACGGGTTTCGGTTTCTGATCACTAGGCAAAATTTTGACACCCATTTTTTTACAACTTTAGGCATGTCCGCGATAGTAGAAGTAAGGAGCCAAACACGCTCACGTGAGATTTTTAGTATCTGGGCAATCTTGCAAACAGATATTTGCCAGTCCTCAATACTCAGTTCATGGACAACACCAAGGGTAACTGGCTCGGTTAACGTTTGGAGACGTCCACTGCGGGACTCAGCTGGAATGTTAAAATGACCAGTCTTTAAACGAGATATTCTGCTTTCGACAATGTTGTAAGAAGAACACTTCATTTCCAGTGTTTGTAACGTATCTTGGTGTGCTTCCTTCGCGGACCTTTTCTAAGGAATCAAAACTTCATGACGGCTTGTAACTTAAACGACATGAAGTTGCATCTGCCTAGGCCAT